TACTGATGCTTCAGTCACAGCACTTACAGAAAGGTTCTCTTTGTTGTTATTAGTTTGAGAAGTAAATTGAAGCATTGTTTCTCCTGATCAAGAGATTGATTAGTCAGAGGTCTCTAGCTGAAGAGGAAAAATGTTCCTCATTATCAACTTTAAAATTCAAATGTATTTGCCAAGCAGAGAATGTTTCAGATGGTGAGTGTGGGGGGTAACAACTTGCTCTTTTGATGTTCTGCCCATAACCATTTACAGATCTCTGAAAGGCAGCCTTCTTATCAGGTCAGTGAAGAAATAAGTGTGGGAATGATACCCTTGAAAGAGAAAATTAACCTTTGCTGCTTCCAGTCAAATGGTTCTCATCATATTTTGACAGGTAACAGTGCGTTAGTATATTTGTGCATTTTGTTGTATTTGTCTGCTCTTTTTCTTCCTAGGTGCTTTCATAATCTGCTGGACCCCGGGACTAGTCTTGCTGCTCCTCGATGTTTGCTGTCCCCAGTGCAATGTCCTGGCCTATGAAAAATTCTTCCTGCTTCTGGCAGAGTTCAACTCCGCCATGAACCCCATCATCTACTCCTACCGGGACAAGGAGATGAGTGCCACCTTCAAGCAGATCCTCTGCTGCCAACGCAGCGAGAGCACCAACGGCCCCACTGAAGGCTCAGACCGGTCAGCGTCCTCGCTCAACCACACCATCTTGGCTGGTGTCCACAGCAACGACCACTCGGTGGTGTAGAACTGCAGCCAGCCATGCAGCTGATGAAGAGCAGCAGGCTCCACCACGGAGCAGGGTGGGCACACGGCCCTGGAGGAGGTAACCCACTCACAAGGTCTTCTCAAACACTAATGGACTACAAGCACTTCTTTTCCAGGGAGTCCAACACACCGTCACAGTCTGCCCTTTTCACAGGACTGGCCATGCTGCAAGGCCTTTGGTTTCTACTTTCAAAAAGCAGAAGCAGATGCCTTGTGGTGGAGGTCATTGGTAGCCCATGGAGAGCCTCACTGAGACTTCGTCGGACTTTGCTGCATCTTGGTGCCAGTCTGAATCAACTCTGATTAATTAAGCTTATACCTGCTTCACTGCATTTACATGTAGCCACTTAGTCTTTTTAAAAAGGGAGTAAAGGGGATAAAAGTATGCCTATCATTTAATTGACATGTAATATTTATCACCATCAGCATGCTTGTGATGAACATTTTCTGTGCAGGGAGTAAAACTGTGCTCTAGTCTTGGTATTCTTAGCCACACTGACATAACTACAGTAAAAACAAAAGTATTTTTTTCTAATACAGGCAACAGGAAGAAGATGGAAACTGACACTTCTTACCTTCATTACTGGTGTTAGAGAGCATGCATGTTCTGTGCGTATGCAGATTGTTTTAATTATGAAAAAAAAAAGCTCTTTGTAAAGTCTGCAGGAAAGTAGAAAAGCATAGACTGTATTCCAGTGTTTGTTTAGATTATGAAATAAACAGTACTTTAGTCACAAGTTATTTAATGTTCTTCTTTGAAGTGTGGTATGATATGTGTAAGATGTGAGAGGTCCCAAGTTTTTCATGGACAAGTTCTTAAAGTAGAACACATCCATAAACCTCTCAAAGGGCTACATTCAGATAAGCAGATTATTTTTTTAAAATATGTATTTATGGCATTGGAATGCTTTTCTTTATCATGTCAGGAAGCAAAGTGATTTTTAATGATAAAGTGTATGTGTGTTCATGGAATGTTTCTTGTAATTGAAAACAAAACACCTGCATTTTTGCACTGACAAATATTTGTAGGGTATCCTCTAAATGATGTATCCTTCACTTCAAAAGCGGTGGGCTACTAAAAGCCAACGTACAACTTCATTTTGTAAAGTCAATATAACATATGTAGTAGTGTATTGCAAATGACTGGACTGTGCTACATATCATAGCCACACATGCAAATTGTTATGAATAACTAAGCTATGGCTGTTTTACAGAGAAATGCCACTCATGAATCTTGGATGCTGAAATCAGTGACATTAATCAAAAATCCTTGACAAGGGTAAATGTGTGCAAAGATGAGATCTTGCTGATAAAAAACTTGGGACTTTTCTCTAGGAATCTCTGTTCTCCCAAAAATGTAAAACATATCAACAGTAAATTCCTGGGGCCATTTTCCTCATTGTAATTTGTCTCTATAACACACACACACACAAATCAGAGGTGTATCTGTCCATGTAACATGCTGTAATGTAACATAAGGGACAAGGGACCATTTTCCTTTTCTCAGGTGTGAATGCAGTTGCATTCTTCCCTGGATCCAAGGAGCACAGTTTTTCATGTCCTCAACTTTCCCATAAAAGGACACCATAGACACTTAAAGTTTAGCACATCTAGCTTCTTAGACCTTTCCAGGTGTCCTTTTTACTTGCAGTTTGCATGCTCTTTAGGGAATATTTCCTCAGTAGGGTGGGAGGATGATACTAAGAAGTAGCAGCAAATCATTCCCCCTTGCATACCGTGCTGACAGTGTGATGATTTTGGAGAAGTCATTGAATAATTTTAAACCAAGGAGGCAATCGTTTGCAACATGCGAGTGGGTCCAGAGGCCCCCTGTGAAGACAGATGCCCAAGAGGCTTTTCTTAGTGTACTTGTGACAGGTATCAGTTGCTTCCCAGACACATTGATCAGGAGGCATTCGACAATTCAAGAATCGAGACTCTTAGCAGCAGTTAAATTTCAGTCATGGGGTAGATTAATTCGGGAGCACTTTCTGGCAGAAGGTGGCTTTTTCTTCTAAAAGGTGAAGTGCAATTTAGATTCAGATCAAAGGCAACAGGGTGCAAACACTGCTTGTACAATTCCACTAGAGGAACTCACTGAGCATGTGGCTGCTATTTAAAAAATTAATTAGTCCCTTTTTTTGTTGACATGATCTCCCTACATCCTAGAGAAATCTGATCTGTGGATTGAGTATTTCTTTACAAACTATTGAAACTGAAGCTGCTGTAAGGAAAGAGAATAAAAAACAGAGCTTGGAATAGAAGGATTAACTTTCTCTCTTTAGTATGATCCTGATGCCACTTGATTGTTTTTAACTTTTGCTTCTCTGTTCAGATTTTCCAGATTCCCTGTGCAGTTGTAGAACTCACTTCTGCTATGTGAAAACATGGTGCAAAGTACTTAGGGAAAAAAATTACTCCACTTATTTTTACTTATCTCAAATCCTTCAAAAGGTTTTAGAGAACTTCTTAAAATACCAGTGATCCTCCCACAGTCATTAAAATTCTTCTGTTGCTGGCTGCCTCTGGTCCAAGTAAATCCTCTTGAAGTTCAAATGTAATGGTGTTTGTTTCAGCAATTGTAGTGGTGGGGAGCCATGTATTAAAAGGAGTATTATTGATGAAATAATTTCAGGTTAAAGAAAATGTGTTTTTCCTACTTCATTTTTTCAGTGGCAGCACAAATCTGAATGCTAATTGAAAAGATTACCTTTGAATGAAAGATTACTACAGAAAATTTTACTTCTCTGTTACTGTCACATTTAGTGAAGCTGGGTGAGACCCATTGATCCACAGAGCCATTAATCACAACATTTACATGAAAAGTTGAAAATATATTCTGTGCTTGACACACATTGCATTTCTTGTCAACCCCTTTTTTGCTCTGTGCTCTCTGCAATTGCTTGATAGCTTCGGACTGGCTTCTAGCTGGGATGCTCAATGCCTGGCACAAGGAGAAATGGCAGACTAATCAGGAGCTTTTTCATTGATTTCTAAAACCAAACACACCTAGCTGTCCACAGTGCACCAGCAACGGCGTTTTTAAAATAGTTAACCCAAGATCCACCATTGATTTTTTAACTCTGTCTTTCAAACGAGAAACAGCTGTGGCACTGCTTAAAAAAAGCTGGCAGTGAAGGCTTGGTGTAGGTCACTGTTGGAACAGAAAGGGCACGCCTGGATAACTTGGGTATCAAAGAGAAAAGGATGTATTCTTATGTCCAGTGTCTTAGTTTTGCTTCCCCTCCAAAGTAACTTTTCAATATCTATAATACATACATTTCTCCCAGTATGGCATTGCACTGACATTAAATTTTACAGGTAACTCCAAGGTGTCTGTCTTTTGCTGTACTTCTGTGGTGGTCAGGGGGGGTTGGCCATGGCCAGTGTGGGTCCCAGGAGCAATCTGTCACAGGAAACTCAAGTAGGATCTGCTTCTGAAGCAGGTTTTGTAGCTTCTGACCTGTGTAGACTACCAGATACCGGGCTGAACTACTGTAAAGCCACCTGGGTTCCTCATTGTGATGCTGCCACCACCACCTCTGACTGTTCTGACTGCAGTGGGTGTCCATGGGCTAAAATCACTATGCTTTGTCTGTGAAAGAAATAAAAGCCCACGCAACAGGTCGTTCTGCCCAGGTGACATTATAGAGGACAGCACTAGGTGGAGAGGCACTGTGAATAATGCTGATGCAAAGTAGAGCTGGCAAAGGCATTCCATTGTCCCTACACCAAGGTGTGTCCCTGTCCCCGTTCTACCTGTTGTTCCTTTGGGTCCCTTCTGACCATGAGACAGGATGGAGCTGGCAGAGGTCAGCCTCAGTGGACTGGCTCTTTTCCACCTGCTGCAGAAGAAACATAACAAGAAAACCAGACTTTTCCCTTCTCATCCTCTTAAGGACTTTCATGTGGAGCAATTTGCAATTCCAAGTCTACCTATCACATTCTTTCCAATCAGTTCTTGCTGAGAGCAATCAGTCTGATATACGCTGGTGTCTCTATGGAGGGGCTTTGCAACTGCAATCTCATTTATTCAGCTGAATTGCCTAGGCTTTACTGTTTGATGGGAAAGGCCACTTCCAACAGAGAGATAACTTAAAAATTATTAACTCCCACAGCTGTTCAGGCTCAAGAAAAAGTGCCTTTTTTTTTCCTCTCATTTTCTTCTCTTAGAGGATTTTTCAAGAAGTTAATCACCCAACTCCAGTTTTCTAAGCCTATCAAGGAGAAAAAAAAAAAAGGTTAACATATATGTATCTGTATACATTAAAAAAAAACACAAAACAAAACAAAAAAAACCACAACACACACAACAACAAGAATCCCAAGCAAAAAAACACATAACAACAAAAAACACAGATGAAACACACACACACAACCAACAAAACAAACTCCCAAAACCAAAACAAAACAAAAATAAAAAACCCAAAAAAGCCAACATGGATATGAAATATGCCACTTACTTCTGGGTACATGGAAATCCAACCCACTGATCAGCTGCCAGCATTTTAACAAGAGCCTCCACAAAATGTTTCTGTTTGCCTGTGATAAACTTCTGATAACCAGAAGTGTATGTGGGAGATTCAGGAATCTGTTCATTTGTTTTCCTGATTAAACAAAACTATGTTCATAACTCACAAGTATGGAGAGAGCCAATGAAGCCTGGCGAACAGTTCTGCTATTAAGTACACTTACTGTAAATGTTCAGAGCTTGTATCTAGTACAATAAAGTATTTAGCATGTGTATTATGGAGTGTGCAAGAAATACCCTTCATCAGGAGAGATGGCATTTTGGATGTAGAGAGTAATCATTAAAAAAGCATGCCTCTCTGGAGGCACGTGCTGGTCTGTTCCAGGAGTTAGCATAGGGCTGAAACACAGGGACAAGGAAAAGGATTTAGTATCAACTACATCACTTAATAATCAGTTCTGTTTGCAATTCCTACCTGGCCAGCTTTCTTCCTTTCAAGTCCACAGTTGCACCTTTTAACCTCAAGCCTCATTTGTTGCTACATAGAAAAGTTTTCCTGCACAGAGAAAACAAACATGCTGATTCTATTCCCTCTACCTCTTCTTTCTTTTCTTCCCCTCTCTTCTCCCTTTCCTCTTCTCCCTTTTCTCCCTCTTCCCTTCTCCCTCTTGCTCTGCATGGTCATGTTTGTTCTAGAGTGTGTCCCCATACATTTAACCGTACATGGACTAAACCAAAGCTCATTGGCTTATATATAAAAATTAATGTGTCCATACACAGATTTGTAAAGCCATAGGAAGCAGGAAGAACTGGAAAAAAAATTAAAAATAAATATATTCTTTTAATGCTGTTTGAGCATAACTTATTTAAGATTCTACTTTTATGCTAATTGCTATTTTGAATTTTGAAGAGAAGAGGCCTTAGGAAAAGGGTTGATTAACCATCTGACTTATGTTAGAAGGGCTAACCACTTAAATACTGAGAGAATCCAAGCATCTGCTTTGACAAAATAACAGAAAATATAGTTAGTGTTCCTAAGATAAAATTGCAGTACTAATCACTTGAGGTATTCTTAAGTAAAAAAATACCAAAAGGGAAGGGTTTGATTTTTTCCTCTCCCCAAACCCTGGTGATTCATGACTAATGCCCTGGCGCTGGGCTTTCCGTGACATGGTATAATGTAAAGCAGCCCCATAGAGCTTGATTGCCGGATGTAACAAGCAGAAAGCCAAAATACACAGTTGCTAAATAAATCGTGCCTCATGA